TCTTGGAAGGAGTGCGAATCCGACCTTCATGCCCGATGGTTTCCCATCATTTCTTTGCAGATGACTCCTTTTTGTTCCTCGAAGCCTCATCTTCTTCATGTACAACTCTGATCTCTCTTCTGCAAGTGTATGAAGGGCTGAGTGGACAAAGGGTCAATCTGGCCAAATCTGCAGTAATGTTCAGTCGGAATACCCTTCCGGATGCTGCACAATCAATGGGAACACAACTGGGGGTTGGTAGTATCAGAGAGCAAGACTCATACCTTGGGTTACCTTCCGTCTTAGGAAGGTCTAAGAGAGATGCTTTTCTATTCATTGAGGAGAAGTTCCGCCAGAAACTTGATGCTTGGAAGCAAAGGGCTCTATCCAAAGCAGCCAAGGATACACTTATAAGAACATCTGCGACTAACTTACATGTCCATGGTATGTCATGTTTTAAATTTCCTAAAGAAACCTGTCGTCGGTTGAACGGACAAGTAGCCAGGTTTTGGTGGGGCTCCTCTACAAATTATGAACACCCTATTCATTGGGTCTCATGGAGGGGAATAGCTCAAAGTAAATTCCATGGCGGTTTGGGATTTAAGGACTTTCAGGGGTTAATCAAGCGCTCTTGGCAAAACAATGTTGGCGTATTTGGAATAATCTAGAATCTCTGTTAGGCCAGATCTATAAAGGCCGCTACTTTAACTCTTCATCCATTCTAGAGGCTCGGGTGGGGTCCAACCCATCATGGGGATGGCGAAGTCTACTTTATGGGGGAGAGCTTCTCCTTCAAGGTTTATGTTGGAAAGTAGGAGATGGCCATGATATCAACGCTTTCTATGACCTATGGATCCCAGCTCTAAAGCCAGAAAGCCCTATAATTAGGTTGGGGTAACATTAACTCTGCTCCGCAAGTGTCCTTTTTTTATAAGAGAGGGTATAGGGGAATGGAATGTGCCGCGCCTCCACTATTGTTTTGATGCCCAATCGGTTGACCTTATTTGCAAGATGGCTCTTCCGCGGATTGCTCAACCAGATACCAGAGTATGGCACTTCACAAAAAATGGTAAATATTCAGTCAAGACAGGATATCACTTGGCTTTAGAAGGTATATTGATTCCAAATAGAAAATCATTGGCTCATATTATTGATACTCCCATTTGGAAAACGACGTGGGTCATCGAGACTCCTCCAAAACTCAGATTCTTCGTCTGGCAATGTCTCAAAGTGGTCCTCCCTACAACAGTGGCTCTCAAATCCCACGGGGTTAACTGTCTAAGTCGTTGCCCTGTTTGTTGGAGGTTCCAAGAAAGTATAGAACATTTGTTTTTTCGTTGCCCCCTTGCCATCCAACTTTGGTATTTTGTGGGATTAAGTGATTTACTGAACTCGGCCCCAAGAAGAAATTTTAGTTTTTGGTGGCGTCAAATTATGCTAGATGAGCAGTCCCAAACCCATATTCTCCAGATAGTGTGCCTCCTGTGGAGAATATGGAAATCAAGAAATAAAGTGGTCTTTGAAAATACCCAGCCTCATGTCCGTTCGTTAGCCCGCCAATTCTCTTTCCAAATTCGCGAGGTTCTCTCTGCCCAGCCTGACTTGTCTCCCCTTCCTCGTGCTCCCGCCTCTGCTAGACCTCTTCTTTGGGATTGCCCGCCTCAAGAATTTTTGAAGATTAACTTTGATGCTTCTCTCCAAAGTGCTGGCTCCTCGTCTGGCCTGGTTGTCCGCGGCTCGGATGGGCATGTGCTTCTTGCCGTGTGTGCTCAGCATTATGGTGTCTCGAATCCTTATCTTGCAGAACTCCTTGCAGCCAGGGATGCAATCTCTCTTGCAACTTCTAGAAATTTGTCTCCGGGTATCATCGAAGGCGATGTAGAAGTGGTCATCCGTCAACTTAAGCTTCGATTGGTGGCCCCATTCTTCGAGATAGTTGTTATCTTCTTGAGTCTTGTTCTCTTTGTATAGAATTTAGGGCAGTTCCGCGGACTGTCAACTGGGCTGCTCATAGAGTGGCACGTAAAGCCCTGCTGCTATCCTGGTTAGAGTTAATTTCTTTTGACTTTGTTGATTGGCTTGTAAGTGGGATGGGAAGAGATTGTGGGTAGTGATTCTTTCTAATCATGTTCTTGACATTTCTTTGGAAAAAAAAAAGAGTGATAATTGTAATGAATAGAATAAATTTGTCGGAAAAGTTGGTTTATGGGTCTCTTCGGTAATTGACCTGTGCCCTATAAAATAGAATTGTGCAGTCATGGAAATTGGAAAGAAAGAATTTTTTTGTAGACTTTACTGTTCTATAAAGGCAAAATACACCTCTATAGCCATAACTTTCACACTTTTGACAAATATAGCCATTTTTATTCGTAAACCAAAAATAGCCAATTCCGTCCATCTCTTTAACGGTGTTACTTAACAATCTGACTGTACTGACGGAATATGCTGAGTTGGCGATTTATGGTCCCCACCAAGCCGATGTGGATTAACAAAAAAATTAAAATATAAAAAATCATTATTTATGTCATAATTTAGTTTAAAAAAAATTGCAACCCTAGCTTCTCGATGCTCTCCACCACCACTGCCGCCGACTCTCCCCTCCTCCTTTCTTCTATCTAATTCTAACCCCACATCTCCCGATATCCTTCACAAATGGCGGCCACAACCTCCAACCTCTTACTATGTCTATTCCTCTCCCTCGCCATTTCCCTCGCCCACGCCTCCAACCCCGACCTCGACTTGTACATAACGGTGCCGAGCTTCTTCCGGTGTCTGATTTCGCTCGACGTGATGAAATCTCCCTTCAGCCTCTCCACCGGCGTCACCTACGACCGCTCCAGCATCCAGCGCTGGCTCGACTTCGGCAACAACACCTGCCCGGCGACGATGTAGGTCCTCGACACCAAGGAGTTCGTCCCCAACGCCAACCTCCACCGCCTCATCCAGACCTGGTCCAGCCAAAACCGCCACAATCCGCTCGACAACTCCTCGGCCTCCTCTGCCGAGTCGGCATCGCCGCTCTCGCTGGACAAAATCCAGCTCGTCGTCAAGGAAATCGGAGGCGAGGAGAAGGAGTCCGGAAGAAATTGCTCCTTCGACGACCTGTCGAAAATCGCGTCTTTTGTCGAGGAATCCAGCGAGAATCGGAGGTTCCTGGCGAAGATGGACGGATTCGTCACAATGCTCGCTGCTCTGATTCATTCGGATGACAAGGATCTTTCCCCGCCGGTGGTGGAGCTTGCGGTTAGGGTTTTGGATTCGGTGTCGACCGAATTCGGGGATTTTCACGAGCTGAAGAGATTGTTACTGATTCCAAAGGAGAAATCCCCCAATCCGCTGCCGTCGTCGCTCGTCCGTGTCATGAAACAGGGGAGCCGGCTAGAATCGCGAATCGCAACGGTACGGATCATCCAATCAATCACCATCGACGCCGAATCGAAGCTCGCTGTGGCGGAAAGTGACGGATTACTGCTCCACCTAGTCAATTCCATCGCTCCACGGACCGATCTGCCTCTCATCGACGCCGTCCTCTCCGCTGGTCAAGTCAGCTTTTTGTTTTTCAATTGCAGGGTAGATCTATGTTTGACTTGAGTTCTCGCTTCAAATTTTCTCCATTTCTGGATTCTGAATTGGCCACCGTCGTCGTGGCAATGCGAATCGAGACGGTGGTGCTACCGCTGGAGAGGTGGTTGGGAGAGGAGAGGGAAAGGAGGAGGAAGAGGAAGCGAAGAGAGAGATGATTGGAGGAGGAGAGGGAAAGGGATTTGGGCAGAAGATGTTGCGAGGGAGGAGAGCTAGATTTTTTTTTTTTTATAATTTCAAAATTAATTATTATTGTAATTCAAAATGACATGGGAATGATTTGATGATTGGTCGCTGACGTGTCCAACGATTTGGCATCCTAGTCAGCCTAACGTTAATCTAATTGACAGAGTTTCTAACACCGTTAAAGTTTCTAACGGATTTGGCTAGATTTGTCACACTACCTTTAGTTTTTTGGGCTATTTTTGGTTTTTGAATAGTTATGGCTATATTTGTCAAAAGTGTGAAAGTTATGGCTATACAAGTGTATTTTGCCTTCTATATAAAACTGAATTGCTATTCGTCGCCCTAAATTTCAAATTTTATCGCCCTAAAATGTATTAAATTGACATTCTTAACCTCGAACCCCAATTTCTACCCTGCCCAGCCGCCGCTGTCAGATTCTTCTCCCCGGCAGGCTCAACTTGAGCGCCGCCGATGCTCTACTTCTAATACCGACTGATCGGCGGGGACTGCTGCCTGTGCACAGTTACTGTTGCCGTGAGGTAGTGAATGTTGTTGGGTTGGAACACAACACCGACGCTAGCAGACAAACAAATCTTGGTTTGAGTCCCGTTTAGTTTTGATTTCTTCCTTCGTAAATTGAGTTTTGGTTTTGATTTGGGAAATTCTTGAAGTCGGGGAAAGAGAAAAAAAGATCGCTAGGGAGAAGAAGGAAGATAAAGAAGATGAATCTGAGGAACGTGTTGATAGGGATGCTATTCATCACTATGATTGCTCCCATTGCTCTTTACTCCTCTGCTCTTGCTTCTGAGAAATCTTCTTTCCGGCCCACTGGCCACCGCCGCTTGTCTATTGTTGCTGCCTGATTCCTTTGTTGGTACCGAGCAAGAGGAAGAACACGAAGAAGGAAGAATGTTTTAGGATTTTTTTTTGTTTCCAGGCGCCGAACGGTTGAAATCGTGTCCCAACTCGACGGAACGGGTTTTCAACCCTTCCGGCACTTTCAGCGGCGGGTACGAAAGACAAATAATTAAGTTAAGGATATTTGAGTCATTTTAATAAAATTTAGGGCGACAAATAAGGTATTTTAGGGCGACGAATAGCAATCTTTCTCTCTTCTTCTTTCTTCTCCCCAAATCTTTCCTTCTTCTCGAAATCCAGGCTCTTTCTTCCTTCAACTCCCCGGAATCGATCCTACCCCGATCCTAACCGTTACAACAATCAACAGTAGTATTCCTTTCTTTAGACCCGGAGTAATGGGCGTGGGAATATCAGTCTTGATGGGATTGAAATCAGCAGTACTTTTCCTCTTCTTCGTATCCATGAGAAGTCTCGGCTTTGCGTTGTTGTCTATGCCGTTCTTGTATGCTTCAATGATAGCTGCCTTAGTTTCTGTAGCTTCTCACCCGTCAGTCGATCTTCCAATCCTTCTGGGTAAAAGCACGGATGGTAGTTTTCCAATTTGGTCCGCCATCATGTTCAGCCCCTACTTATACTTGGTCAGATTGTTTTCGCTGTTGCGTCGATCAGCCAGCGGCGAGGATCCTTACAGTGAGGTTTCTGAGGGTGTTTATGTTGGTGGGTGGCCTTATGCTGCTGACAAATTGCCGCCGGGCAATCCGGCGATTATCGATTGCACTTGCGAGTTCCCGAGAAGACCGGAGTTCAAAGGACACTCTTATCTGTGTATTCCGACTTGGGACACGAGGGCGCCTCAGCCCGTGGATATTGAGTCGGCTGTGAAGTGGGCGGTCCGGAAGAGGGCTCAGAATCGGCCTGTGTTCATCCACTGCGCATATGGTCAGTGTGCAATTAATTTACTTCCTCTTCTCTTTTTCGTCTAACTGCTGTTTTTCACGATGAAATTTGCTTGCTGTTGGTGAAACGTCTGTGAAAGTTGTCTTCGATCTGAAGCGGTTGTTGATAGGTTTATGTGAGAAACTTGAGTTGGAACTTGGGGAGTTTTCTATGCGTTGCTAATGGGGGTACTTGGTTCTTCATATAACGTTTCTTGTTATGCAACAGGAACGAGTATTCTACTCTAATATGGTCTACCAGTGAGTTGTTAGATATATTTTATTTTGGTGCAATGTAGTAAGGCTTTAGATCGTATTACTATCAAGTAAAGTAAGCAGATTGACCATGGGGGTATTGTTTGCACAATTGACTATGGGGCTGGATCCTTGTAGAGAAGCTTATGTATAGCCGCTATTGGTCCTTAATTGTGTTTTCTTGCAAGCAATCAAAATGGACAGTGGGTTTTAGCAGTGAAGTAGACATTTCGGACTCATAATAGTGTATCGGTATGGACTTCTCAGTTGTGCCTATTCTCTGTTATAGCCGATATCATTAACACCCAATATATTGCCTCCTACTGCGGTTTTATGCATGTCTAGCTTATTCTCTTATGGTTTCGTTTGAGGAGGAATTTTACAATGCTATATAGTATTGGTGCTATAGGTTTTTGCCTTTATGGTACAACTTAAAATTGTACATTTATGTTATGGTACAATTTCATATTGTACCTATACTGTTTGTACAAATTCTTTTATGGTACAACTTGAACTTGTACCTTTATATGATGCCAACTTGAAGTTGTAAAGTTGTACCATAACATAATGGTACAGATTCTTTTATGGTACAATCTAAACTTATACATTTCATGTTATGGTACAACTTTAAGTTGTACATTAAAGCACCAATACTATATAGCATAGTAGAAATGCTCTCGTTTGAGTAGGATTCATGCTTCATTACCCATATCACAAATTCCCAGATGCATTTCTTTTGACATACATTTCTTTGCCACATAGTGGTGAGTTGCGCAAATTTGCACCGTGGTTGTAAAGCTGCAGAGAGCAGCATGTCCAATAGTTCAAACTAGAGATCTAGAGATTTCACTTTGCGTATTTGAAACTTCTGGTTATTCTGGATAATTATTTCCTAGTCTAACTTTAGTTAGAATTTAGCATTGGTTTTCATTAAAGTATTTGGCTTCTGATGACCTAGTATGTTGAGCACCAGCTGAATAACTACTTTATTTTTGGGTGTGAGAATTGGCTACTTCTTGATGATATCCAGCAGGCATTGTTACAATTACTCACCAAATCATGATAATTCCTTCATGCATATTTGTGGTGCCTGTTCCAAGTTTCTAGTTAGCTGCAATGGTAGCAGCTAACATTGACTAAAAGTGGTTGTATCGACATATTCTAACTTGGTGGATGGATAATATTTGTGGAATTGGAATTGGGATTGGATTTTAACTCTCTAAGTAGCAGGTCGTGCTTGCTAATGTATCTCTTTTGTTTTCAGAATTAGATTTCTCAATCTCCACGTGAATGGACACTATCCATAGAAATATTAACAAAAGCGCACAGCTTTGTGCTTTGAATTTATTTCCTAGCAACCTTGAACTTTCAAATGAAGCTCTAATGCTTTTCTCAAGTTCTATAAGCTTCTTCCTTTTGCCTCTGTATTATCTTCCTAACAACAGTTCTGTGGCCATACTAACTGAACTGTGGACAAATAGGTTGATGTCTAAAATCTGGATATGAGAATGTACCTGCCACTGCCAGATGACTGACAAATTTAGTTGCAATCCTGACATGGCAGTGGGTCTGGCAATGACTTGTGTGGTTAGATATGTGTAAGGCAGCTTCTCAGCTTGCGTGCCCTAGAAACAAATTCATTTTTCATATTGGAAAATCAGAACACCTGCCTTGTGAAATTTCTCAACTGGGTCTCTATGTCAGATATAGATGAACTTTTAGCAATTGTTGTGGATATTGACAGTTTGGCGGATCATTTACTCTTTCCCCCATTGATGTAGCTGTGAAAGCATCGAACTTGTTGCAGAAATGATTCTCTGTTCGTATGGGTAATGGTTTTTCTGATTCCCTGCAGGTCATGGAAGAAGTGTTGCTGTCATGTGTGCGCTGTTGGTGGCGCTAGGAGTGGTGGAAGACTGGAAAAGGGCCGAGAAGTTGATTGCTGAGAAGAGACCGTATATCAGGATGAATTCCCTGCAACGGAAATCCTTGGAAGAATGGTCGAAAGATAGGTTGTCTTAAGTGGTGAATGTGGGTTCAATGAAACAACCAAATGTCTACTAGAAAGATAATCTACCAAAATGTTTACTTGACTGTGATGCATCGGATACGGACCATATGGTAGATGCTGCTGAATGGGACGGGACGTCTCTTATTGTTTTACTATGTTCATCTGTTCTGGCTGCCAAGGGAGCATATGTATAAATTTAGCGCTAAACTATCAAAAAATGTCATTTATTTTCTAAAATATTTAATACGACAAAAATGTCCCAAAGTAAGAGATTTTAGGTAAATTGTATCCCAAATGTTTGGTTGACTGTTAAATTTAATAGTTTCCTTAATGAGGTCGAATATGTGTTTGACTATAATAACACGACACCTATGTATCAACAACATAAGCTGTCACATCAGTAATATGTGTAATTTAATAATTTTTATTTTATTAAAAAAAATACTCAATTAGTTAAATTGTTTTCCCAAAAACATCAGATCCTTCCGTCTGCACCACCATCACACCCTCTCGCCGCCATATCCATAACTTCAATTGGATTTGGGACTCTAGTGAAGACCGTCGGACTAGGAAAGCGACAACTAGATTTGGGGGGAGATTGGCTTCGGGTGAGGAAACAACGAGAGAGGGAGCGGTGGAGCGAGTGCGGGAAGGGGGAGGGGTAACGACAAGAGGAGTATTGAAGATCCGAAGGTGGCGGCGAGGAGAGAGTTCGACGCGAAGACGGGAGGCAATTTTTTTTTGTAATTTTATTTATTTGCTATGAAAATAAATAGAAATAAAATAACACAAATGACACTTCTTGATAGTTTGGACTTTCTAGTGGAATTAGTTCTAATATTTATCCCTACCAAGCGAATCTGGCACGAATTTTCGCCGCCGTGGGTGCTCACCAGCTACTTTGACTTTGAGACCCCTTTTGTAAACTCTAATGGAAATGAAACTGAGAAGTTTTATTGACTGAATGAAATATGGTTTAAATACACAATGCCAATCACCAAACTCGACAACTAGCAACAGCCCTAACCCCTCTATCCTGGATTCCAACATCCATAACTAACTGACTTGCTAAGAACTTGAGCTAAAAGCTCTCAACATCTATAACACGACTTTGGACTCAATTGTAACAAAACAAGACCCAAGGACCTAACATGAACTACGCCAAACGACTGCGTATCACATAAACTCAAAACTTTACTGCAAAATGACACGTTGCACTTTATTTGAATCCCTTTAGCGTTAGACTCCCAATCCTTTTGCTACTTGGACTCTAGACCCTTCAGCACTTCTCCATAGCTCCAAGTTCAACTTCCATCAACTTCATTTCCTAGAATGAACTCATCAGCATCCATGATTCCAAGCTCAAACCCGAGTAACTAAAATATTTCCTCATTTAGGGCCTTTGTCATATGTCTATAATCTTTTCATTGGCTCCACAGTAGACCAGATCAACCACATTGTCTTTAACTAGTTCTCTTAGGAAGTGAAAGCTAACATCAATATGTTTGATTCTTCCATGAAGAACTGGATTCTTTGAAAGTTTGATTGTTGAACAGTTATAACCGAATATTTTGTTTGCCTCATCAGTCTTCCTCCCCCAATTCACTTTCTTCACAATTCTCCCGAGCCACAGACACTAAGTAGCAACAATAAAATCTACTTCAGTAGTGGAAATTGTTACTAAATGTTGCTTTTTCTACGCCCATGACACAACTCCTTCAGGAAGAAAATGTGCCCACTGGTATTTTTCCTGTCATCCAAGTCGCACGCATAATCACTGTTTCCTGGCAATTCTGCTCCTCCTCCTTTCTTGTAGCATATGCCATGACTCGTGGTACCATTCAACTATCTCAGTACTCTCTTGGAAGCCAACATATATTGCCATGTGGGAGGTTCCATTAATCAACTAAGAAGGCAGACGTCATACATCACATCAAGGCTGGTCATAGTAACATACAACAGACTTCCAATAAGGTGCTTGTATTCTATGGCATTGACAGGGATGCTATCTCCATCTTTTGAGAGTTTTACTCTTGGTGCCATTGGATTATTGACAAAATTAAAATCTAGAAGTCTGATCGTCTCTAGAATGGCATACATGTACTTCTTTTGATAGATGAACACTCCCCTTTCAGTCTTATTGATCTCAAAACCTAGGAAGTACCTCATTTATCCCAGATCACTCATTTCAAACTCGACCTTTGATAGAAACCAATTTCTGTATGATTATTATTAATATTAGGATTATTATTAGTAGTCTTTTAGTAAAATTAGGTTTATTATTAGGGTTTTCCAATATTCCCTATAAGTATGTATCTTGAGACTACGGTAGAAGAAATGGAGAAGAATATTAAGAAAAGTCTTCCCAACCCTAATCTCCCTATCCTCTAAATTCTTGTTCTCAATCCCTCTAAGCCCTAGGCTGATTCTCTATCTTTCTCTTCTTCATTCCCAAATCCCAATCTCAATCCCTAATTCTGTTCGTATAAACTCTAATCCCCAAATATCAAACCCAATAGGAACTTTGTTCATATCAATTAGTATTAAAGTCTGGTTCCGAGAGCGAGTTCGTCACTACTCTCAACCGGGGTTTGCTTCCTACCAAGCATAGCCTCGATGAGTACATCACGACTCACCATTAAGGAACTGTTGAACCAGTTGGTGGCGACACTCGAAGCCATCTGGGCAAAGAATACAATGGCGGTTGGCGGCTCGATGGCCGTACTTACAGCAGTTTGGATGGGTACGAGGCCCAAGGCAAGGCCGAATGACGGCGTTTCCACGGGGATGGCAGAAGTACAGGAGGAGATTCTAGCGGACGCGAGTCTGATATGGAGAGAAAGGCGACGGTTCCGGAAGGAATCGCCAAGTAGGAGGAAGTCAAGGCGGAGATCGCGGACGGAGGGGAGGCTTCGCCGGCTCCATCAATCACTCTAGAAAAGCAAAGAAGGTTGGCGGCATCGAGGGCGCCGTCGATCGCGGGGGATATGTTGAAGAAGTTCCCAACAGAGGAGAAGAAGATGGTGACAACGCAGTGTGTGGCGGCGAGTCCAAGGACAAAGACGAATATAGGGAAGGTGACGACAGAGACAAGGCCAGAAGAAACCTGACATCGACGCCGCGCGTCGGTCAGTTTGCCTCCATGGAATAAGTAGGCAGGGAAGGAGAGCTTGGAGGTAGAGCTATTGCCAGAGCTGTGGAGCGAGAAGTTGGCGTTGCCCGTGGCGACGAACGATGGGGAGCAAAAGCCAGAGGCGGAAGCCAACTGGACTTGCCATCAAGAAATATCTTCGCCGCCGAAAAAGATGTTGGAGTCGAAGAAGGAGATGGAGGAGGGCGGTGGTGGGTTCATTCAGCGCCCAAACCCTAGATCGCCAGCCTTGGGTCAACAACAATTGGGTTCGTGGGCCGCCGGGTCGGGCGGATCAAGCTTTGGATCGACTTATGTAGGCATGTGCGGGCCAAAGCGGATGGGAACAGGTGGGCCGTGTTTTGGGATGAAGCTGGCCGAGGACGATCTGAGGAAGCATGTCGTATCAAAGCATGAACCGGAACAGAATAAAGATAACTTCCACGAGCTTCAGGAGATAGTTGGGCCAAGGTTTCAGAAGAAGCTTGGGCCACCAATGAGCTATATTGTTGGATTTATTTTAAAGGAGAAAAATGCGAAGAAAGATGGATCCGTGGGCTTAGATGATAGGCTTAAAGAAGAACAACTATCTGATTCTTACTTTGTATAGTTTGAAAAGGAGGTTGGAGAGTCATTTGGCCATGGTTGTGACATGAGCCATGTGGGTAGAGAAGAAACAACGAAAGTCGGAGTTATTGGTGTGAGATTCGTTCGAGCAATGGAGCATGATTGGAAGAAAAGGAAGCACAAGAAATGACACAGTCGACACGTGGATTGTGTGAGAAGGGTGGAGGCGTCAGATGAGTTGGTCAACCTTGAGTGCATGGTAGGGGTGGGAAACCGGTTCGGAAGAGAAATATGGATATTTCGGAAACTATGGTTCTTTCAACCGAATCGAATTTCCGAATTTCTGACCGAAAAGCAGAAAAACTATAATTGCAAGCTCCAAATAGTGGATTTTTATGTTTGTAATTGTTTTTAGACTTAAATATTTGAAATGTTTTATGGCTTATGTGTTGAAAAGTTTGATTTTATCATTGATGATGCATATAATTTCATATTTGTTGTTTATATTAGGGGTGAAAAATAATTTAAAAGTGAGAAAATACAATTAGCCTCACAAATTCGATTTTGTGTGAAAAACTTAACCGAACCGAATTATAATTTGGTTTAAACCGACCAAACCAAATTATAATTTGGTTCGAATTCGGTTTGAGGTTTGGTTGAATTCGAAGACCCGATATTCATAATTTTGGTTCGGTCGAAAGCGAACGACCGAATACCCACCCTTAGTGCAAGGTTGGTCTCAATGGGGAATGGATGATAGAAATCGATTTCCTTATTATTATTATTATTATGATTATTATTAGTAGTCTTTTAATATAATTCGGTTTATTATTAGAGTTTTCTAGTATCCCTATAAATATGTATCTTGAGACTACGGTAGAAGAAATAAAGAAGAATTTTAAGAAAAGTCTTCTAAACCCTAATCTCCCTATCCTCTCAATTCTCGTTCTCAATCCCTCTAAGGCCTAGGATGATTCTATATCTTTCTCTTATTCTTTCTCAAATCCAATCTCAATTCCTATTTATGTTCGTATAAACCCTAATCCCCAAATATCAAACCTGATATGAACTTTGTTCCTATCAGCCTTCATGTCTTCTTTCAATTCAGCAAGCATGGAGGAATCATTACCGGAATACATGATATCATCCATATAAATGCTAACTATCAGAATAGCAACACCCTTCCTTTTTATGAATAAAGTGTGTTCATAAGTACTTCTTTCAAAACCAGTCTTGGCAACGTAAGCCTCAATCATGTTATACCATACCCTTGGGGCTTACTTAATTCCATACAATGCCATCTTTAACTTGTATACCTTGTTTTCCTCCTTAGAAACCACAAAACCTTGTGGTTGC